TTTATGAAATTAAGTTTGGTAACAAAGTGTTCAAAACATGCAAACTCACGGTTTTAAGGTCTCAAGGGTAGATTTTTGTTTACTCAAGAGATTTAGCAAGAAAACCTCTAAACCGAAACTTGTACAAAAGGTTTTCAACATACTTTCAAACACAAAATTTCGTACAAAGGTAGGATGTCACATGCAAGGATTAAAAATTCAAACTTTCTAAAGAATCTCTTCACACAAAACCAAAACCAAAACTTTGAAAGTGAATCAAGTAATTTTCAAGCGAAAATCCAACAAGCAAGTGAAGGAATACAACATGCAAACTCATGGATCATGGCTTTGAAGGTGGATCATCAAAGAAATCAAGGATTTCAAACATGCAAAGGCAAAACTGAAATACTTTCAAGGAAGAAATTGCAAGCACTAAATAAAGTTTCAAGCTTTGAGAGAAATCAAAACATCTAAGCATGAAACCGAAAATTTCAAGGAGATCAAATGGAGTACAAGACAAATACTCAACATGCAATTGAAGGAAATTGTCTTCCAAGCTCATGGTTACTTGTTTTCAAAGGTGGACAATCATTTAAACCACGAATCTAGCAAAGAAAGTGAACAAACTGAGACATGCACAAGGATGAATCAACATGCAAATGTTCAAAATGCAAACTTTTAGAGAGATTACCTCCTTTTCACATAAACCGCAAACTTAGAGGTAAATAAAGTGAAGAAATCAAGTAGAATTTAACATGCAAATGGTACAATGAGCTTGATCAAAGTTATTGGAAATAAAGATGGAACCTTTACAAGATTTCACATAGTTTTCAACCAAGGAAGACAAACAAAGGAACAAAGGATGAGAACTCCCCCTTGCATTTGAGTTTTTGGGCGAGAAATTGAAGAAGGAAGGGCTGGAATTTGTGGATCTTCAAAGAGAGCTTGCTGGACCAAAAACAGCAACCAAGTTCTTCAAAGTTCTCCTCCAAGGTTGGTTCCTTGCACATGAAAATTGGAGAGAAAATGGAGGAAGAAGTTAGTGATGGAAGGGTGAAGTGTTTGAGTGATCTGTATGAAGAAATTGTGATGTTTGAGGGGCTGGAAGCTCTCGGTTTTCTTGAGAGAGTTTGAGAGAATTTGAGACTTTAAGAGAATAAAAATGATGAAGCAAAGTGAGAGAGAGAAATGAGAAATCAAGTGGAGAGAATGAGAAGTGAGGTCTCGGTTTCTTGTTTCCAAAATGGGCAAATGGAAAAAATATGAATAATTTATATGGAGGTTAAGGTCTTAATGGTCCAAGGTAATTAGGAACTCACGGTTAGCTTATTGGATAAGCCTTGGAAGTCCCAAAATTTGCTCACGGTACAAAAGAAGTAGAATTGAAGTGAAATAGGTGAGAATGGTGTAAGAAAAAGGTGTTATGGTTTTTAGTGTAGGAATAGATATTTTTAGGGAAACTTGCAAGCAAAGTTAGTATATTTTGGCAAGTAAAATGCATGGAATAATTTAGGGCTGCATGCAAAGGGTTTTGGGTGGAGCAATTTCCAAAAATCGGCACAAAACTCCAAGGTTAAGATTTTGGGCAGCAAATGCATGTAATTTGATTGGTCGGAAAAGAATGCGACATGACTAGGTTGGACGAGACATTTGATGTGGTGCTAATTTCAAGAAAGACAATTAATTAAGGTAATTATGATGTCGGCAATTTGGAAGACATGAAAAGAAAGTTCCGAAATGACTTTGCCGGCGAATCGGGAGACAAGAATCTCTTGCATGTAATTCTAGTGGTCGGTATTAGATTTTGGAAGATTCGGGTAATCATGGTGTTTGCACTTTAGGGGACAAGAATATTTTGCATGAAAATCTAGTGGCCGATACTAGATTTGGAAAGATTTGAAGTAATGATTACAGGACTAAGTAATGATTACAAAATCTTTTGAAATGATTATAAAATCTAAATAAATATAAAATCCTTTCAAATGATTATAGAATATTTTGAAATGATTACAAAATCTATGTAATGATTACAAAATCCTTTTGCAGTAATTACAAAATCTTTTGAAATAAATATGGAATATTTCATAATGATTACAAAATCTTTTTGCAGTGATTACAAAATCTACGTAATAATTACAAAATCTCACATTTTTCGAGAATGATAATTATGATTTTTCAATAATTTAAATAAGACAAAATATGGCTTTTTGAACAAGATTCTTAGGGGTATTTTTGGGTAATACAACTGAATACAATTAGGACAATTCTTGGATGATATCGAAGCCAAGTGTATTGCATGCAGTTACTCTAAAATGCAGAACTTAGAGATCAAGTCACTATTCTCCTCAGTGAATAAAAATAGAAAATTCAGCATCTATCTAATTATTTCGACACTAGCAAGTCGGAATCAGCAAATAATTAAAATTCAAGAGCTAATAGCCAACTAACGAAAATTTGGGGCGTTACATCCAATACTTCTATGAAGGATTACACCCCATGAATAAAAGTATGATAGATACAGCAAGTAGAGGAGCATTGGTAGACAAGACACCTATAGCAACCAGGAACTTGATTGAAAATATGGCTGCTAATTGCCAGCAATTTGTCATAAGACAGAATTCTTGTGTGACTAGAGGTGTAAGTGCAATTTAAACTGTAAAACCCAACTTGTTAGAGCACAAAGGTAATGAGTTAGCCTCCATGGTGAAGCAATTAGCTTTAATACAAAAGAATGATGATGTGCCTGTACATCTATCATCACCTATTCTAGTCATGCTATGTGGGATATGCTCAGCCACAGATCATTATACTGATAGCTGTCCCACATTGCAAGAAACTGAAACTTTGGAAGGTAACCCCCAAGCCTATGCTGCAAATATTTATACTAACAAGTTTCCTTTTCAACAGCCTTAGCAACAGCCCAATTAGGACCTATCTTCAAACAAATAAAACCTAGGCTAGAGAAATCATCTAAACTTGAAATGGGGAAACTCCTCACAGGAGCACAACCAACAACAAGGCAACTATTACCAAGCACATCATGCTGGTCCAAGCAAACCCCATCAACCATAACATCACCAACCATCGACCTCACAACCCATTGCATTCTAGAAGAGTGAGCCATAACTAGAAGAACTCATGAAACAAATGGCCATGAACAACATCACTTTCCAGCAAAGGACTAGGGCTAGCATAAAGACTCTTGAGAACTAAATGGAACAGTTAGCCTCTTCTTTGAACCAAATTCAATCTAGAGGTTTAGGAAATCTCCCTGCACAAACTATAGTAAATCCCAGAAATGTGAGTGCAATTACCTTGAGATCTGGAAGAGTGATGCAAGAACCTGAACTGCCCAAGGAGAAGGAAGATTCAAGCTATATTCCAGCCACAGTTGATATAAATATAGAGGAAAACAGTCAAGAACAACCAGAACCTGCACCTTCCCAACAAAAGGTAGCACAGAATGTTAAAAGAGCAATTCCTTTACCATTTCCGCAAAGAGTCACCCAGCCAAGCAAGAAGTCTTAGGAAATCATTCTTGAAAGACCTGTGCACCCATGGAAGGCGTCTTAAGGGTAATGAGAGGGTAAATATGGGTAGAAATGTTTTTACACTCTTTGAGAAACAAAAGACTACAATGCCTGAAAAATGTAAAGACCCAGGGACATTTATCATTCCATGCATCATTGGTAATAACAGGATTGACAATGTCATGCTAGATCTAAGAGCATCCATTAATGTTATGCCATTGTCTATTTTTCTTTCACTATCTCTTGGCCCTTTGTAGGCTACAGGTGTGATTATTTAGTTGGCTAACATGAGTATAACATATCTAGCCGGACTTGTTAAAGATATGTTAGTGAGAGTAAACGACCTCATTTTTCCAGCTGACTTCTACATCCTGGACATGCAAAAGGAGAAATCAGTGAAGAGTGCTGCACCAATAATTTTGGAAAGACCATTCTTGAAGACGTCAAGAACGAAGATTGATGTGCATATCCAGACACTTACCATAGAGTTTGGAGACAACATTGTGCGCTTTAATATACTGGATGCTATGAAGCATCCACTTGAAGAACACTCTATCTTTCACATTGAATTTTTTGATGCATTGATAGATGATAAAATGTCTGAATGGCTAGAAGGAGGCTCTTTTCTTAATTTTTCTAATTATGTAGATACTTCCACTTGTGAATCTTGTAATAATTCTTCGTTGTGTGACACTTGTATTTCTAAGTTTTTGAATGCAAACTCTGCAACTTCTGATGCTAATAAAACTGAAGAATCCATAGGGATAGAGTGTGATGTATTGAGTACAGTAAGTACAACTAAATCTAACCGCCATGATTTGAATGTTGTAGAAGGTTTGTCTAGTGCCAAATCACTTCCCTCTATGGAGCAACCTCCTACACTAGAGCTAAAGCCCCTACCTGAACATCTGAAATATGCCTATTTGGAAGCAGATGAAAAGCTCCTAGTGATAATTTCCACCAAGCTTGATGGTGATCAGGACGAGAGACTACTTGAAGTGATAAAGAGGCACAAGAAGGCCATAGGTTGGACACTCGCTTATATTTGTGAAATTAGCCCCCTTTTGTGCATACACAGAATACTATTGAAGAAGGGTGCTAAACTAGTGAGGCAGCCTCAGAAGAGGGTGAATCCCATCATACTAGATGTGGTGAAGAAAGAGGTGACCAAGCTACTTCAAGTTAGGATCATTTATCCAATTTCAGACAGTACTTGGGTCAGCCCGGTCCAAGTGGTTCCAAAGAAGTTTGGACTCACTGTGGTGAAAAATGAGAAGGACTAGTTAATACCCACCAAAGTGCAAAACAGTTGGAGAGTCTGTATAAACTACCAGAGACTAAACCAGGCAACCAGAAAAGACCATTTTCTATTACAATTCTATGATCAGATGCTGGAGAGGTTAGCTGGTAAGTCTCATTATTGTTTTCTTGATAGTTTTTCTAGTTATTTCTAAATATGCATAGCACCTAAAGACTAGGAGAAAATCAATTTTACATGTCCATTTGGCACCTCCGTCTATCGGAGGATGCCTTTTGGCCTATGCAATGCTCCTGCCGCATTCCAAAGATGTATGTTAAGCATTTTCTCTGACTTAGTGGAGCACTGTATAGAAGTTTTTATGGATGATTTTACTATATATGACCCATCTTTTTCTGCATGCTTAGCTAACTTAGAGAAAGTTTTGAAAAGATGCATAGAGACTAACCTTGTGTTAAATTTTGAGAAATGTCATTTCATGGTAGAACAAGGTGTATTTCTAGGCCATATCATATCTGAAAAAGGCATTGAGGTAGATCTTGAAAAACTAACTATTATTTCACAATTGCTTTACCCCTCTTGTGTTTGAGAGGTTTGTCTTTTCTTGGCCATCACTACACCAAAAATGAAATCTAAGAGTAGTTCCGCTTGAACTAAGAGAGCGGTTAGTGGTGCTTTAAAATCATGTGCTATCCAGTGTTGTCACTTTTGCAGAGCGGTTATTTAACTGCTCCGAAATGTACATTTTGGAGAGTTGTTTGGCGGTTAACCACTCTCAGAAGTTCACTAAAGAGAGCGGTTAAGCGCGTAACCGCTCTTGCAAATGATAGCATTTTGGAGAGCGGTTAAATTAGAACCGCTCTCAGAAGTTCACTTTGGAGAGCGGTTATGCGTGTAACCGCTCTCAGAAGTGAATTTTGGAGAGCGGTTATTTATTACCACTCTCCAAAGTGAACTTTTGAGAGCGGTTCTAATTAACCGCTCTCCAAAGACTATAATTTGTAAGAGTGGTTTAACGCATAACCGCTCTCTTTAGTGACTTCTGAGAGTGGTTCAAATTTAACCGCTCTCCAAGTTTACTTCTGAGAGCGGTTCTTCTAGAACTGCTCTCCAAAGTTAAGAAAAATTTTGTAATATTTTAATAAAACTGGCATAAAACCTTTTTTTATAGCATACCTGGTATTATACAGTATTTAGAACCAATTCAAACATTATTCAGAACCAATTCAAACAGAATTCAGAACCAGTTGAAACAGAATATAATTCTCAAACAGAGTCTGATATAGTAGAATTTCAGAGCTATTTGCACATTGTATCATTGAATTACAACTCACATGTACAGATTACAATCAAATCAGAGTCTCATATTTACACATTTTTCCTAGGGTTGAAAGAAAATTGTCTAAATATTGTAAAAGAACACTAAAAATCTATTGTGCTTAATGTGTCCTTTAAATATCTATGGTACAGATATGCACACCACTCCTTTTGAAATTGATAAATTTTGTTGTCAGGAAAAGTTGGAATCTGCACCTTTAGAAAGTACTGAAATACAAGGACAAGGAAAACAAAGCTTATTTAATTAAGTGAAATAATAAGCATATGGCAAACGAATTTGAAAGTAAGATTATTACATTTACTGGGATTACAGTTTGTCCATGGTGCAAAGCATCCCCAATGAATAGACACACATAATATCCACAGTCGTCATTATTTGTTTGCTTGGGACACTGTGGAAGATAAAAGTCAAATAAAACAACATTAACTATGAATGATATACAGTGTAATTACGATTTAGCTGAAAATGTGTGACATGAGATATGATATAGTCTTACCTGTACAGTGACCCATTTTGTTTTACTCATCTTTGTACTAGAGGGCTGCACTCCCCTCTCTGCTCGATACGTGACAAGAGCACTAAAAGTCGTACGTGAACCAAAGAAATTAGATACATTTGAACCACTTAACATTAATCATAGTGTATTGACATAAATGAATGCTTACTTATTAAATAGGTTTTGCATGTGTGTTCTGATCTTCAGCTGCTTGCGTAGATGGTCCATGTAATAAATAGTCTCGTCAGCAGTATTGATCGCAACCAAGACCCAATGTTGCCTACCATGAGCATAAATATCATTTTAAGATTACTAAGTTATATGCTAAATTATAAAACATAAAGTAGAGTCTCAATGAGATCAATTGACTTACCCAACATTATAAGGTACAAAAATCAAGTGATCTTCACCCATATGACGCTTCAACATTTCAGCTATATGTTGATGTGCGTTCGGATTGAGCGCTTCATCCATTTCATACGAAGATATAAATGAGAATCTATTTGCCATTGTCCCATGCAAATAAGCTTCACACAAATATCTTGTTTTGCATAAGTAGAATTGAACATTAGTGGTATGAATGAGGCGTTAAAAGTTATAAATTGACTATATAATTTGAAATTTAATGTACCGTATGTAAAGGTTAATGCTAGAGGCACTCAACCAATGTCGACGTATGACCTCTATGATGTTTTCCTTCCCTAAAATGTCACAAAACTCTTTACCCCAGTGTTCACTTGTCAGTTGAAATGTAGCTGTATCAATGGCTTGATCACTTCTCACAACCAGCTTCATCATATCCAAGCATGCAGCACCTTAGGCTTCTGCTAACTTAAGAATCTCCGATGACACACAACCAGTGCTACCTTTATTGGATGCACCAGCAATGGACTCTTTTGAGTAGCCTGTCTCTTTCCCTAACCCTTTACCTGATGAAGGGGCAACCTGAAAAGAACAAACCCTTTTAATTGTAACATCTAGCAACAGGAACTATAAAGAAACACGTTTACATACCTTGGGTCTTAAAGTGATTAGGGACAATGGCCAAGCAACATAAGTACCAATGGCATCTCTCAGGGAATACAAGTTTGCTTCTTCATTTGGGACAGGCAGTGCAGAGTCCTCCTCATGTCATTGCACTACCTCTATAGAAACCTTACCATGCTCTGGAGGAAGAGCCATATTATGTAAGGAGTCCCCAGCCACTGTATGATATACTTTACCTCTTGTAACCAGGCGAAAAGGTTTGTTCAAGTATAGCATACAGTCATGTTCACCCTACAAATGAAAGTTTGTTATATTACGCAATAATTAAATCAAAAGTATTAAACATTATAAGGTAAATGATAATTTACTGTAGCGTCAATACCTCTGGAATCTCAACAGATGCAATTGGTGTGCGACTGCCTCTATAGCTGGTAGAAGGTGCATCTACAGGTGTTTGGGGACCAATATCTACCATCGGTTGCATTTGAGGAGCTATATTGAAAGGGGGTGGCATACATAATGGTGGGGACTGAGTAGGGTTAAATGGCATCTGACCTGACATGAATGGGGGTAGTCCCTAACTCCCTGTCAACTGTGTCATTATATTGGTCAAATATACTACCCAATGCTTCATGTTTTGCCACTCGGTAGATGAAGGATGTGGACATGAACCTGGCCAAAATGCAGATTTTTGGGTCACCCCAAAACCTACAGCCCGAACGCGACCTGGATGCTCTCTTACACCAAGTGCTTGAGAGAGTATGTCATTTCGGGCTGTTGATTCAGTCTCAGCGTCTGGAGTGACCTATGAAAGGGTTTCCTACAATAAAGATAACAATTAACCATTAGGTCATTGTAGGAGAATTCAAAATTAAACTTAACATATTTGAAAATACTAACACTTTTGTATTTACTACTTACAAATTCATTGATCATTTTTTTAACTCCTTCGTTATCAATGCTACCTTTTTTATTTACCCTAACAGGTTTCTAAAGGACATGTCGAGGTACTGAGGTCAAATTAGACCCAGATGTAGCAATCTACACAAAATTAGACCCATTAAAATCCCTCGTTAATAGGTTTAACATAAGACAACACATTAGCATCACATTGTTACATAAGACACAAATATACATACCAAGTCTTGCTCTAACTGAGCATATCCCTTAGCTGACCTCCTGTATCTGTACGACATTCCTTTCGCCCTTTGTGCATTAGCCTCACTTTCTTTCTAAAATTAGGCATTCAGAAACGTACAAATCAATACAAATTGTGATGGTGACAGTAATTTGAAGTAATAATGTGTGACATGGTACCTTGAAAGTCTCTGTACAGCTTTGGTTGACAAAGTCCACCCAATGATCAGTGACTGTGATGAATCTCTGATACTTCTCCAGAGAATGGGGGACACAATTTCTATCTTTGTCACAAATATGTTTTCTCAAACGTGTCCGGAATGCACGAAGGTCCCGTCCAGCTAAAGACAGAACAAAATCTTTGTGAATAGGAGCCACATCAAAAGTTTGCTACATTGGGAACAAAAAACAATATCAGATATGCCCTTTTCGGTAAACCAATATGCAATAACTGAAATGATTCATCTTGTGTACCTCAACTTGCTCCCAAATGTGGTCTTTAACATTTGTAGGGACATTTGTCCAATCAGAATAACTGATTGACACTGTACTCCTAGTAACAAAGCCAATAAAATGTGCAAACTTTGATCTGTTAGGGTCTATCGGTTGACCCTTTCCATTCCAGCCAACCTATATGCAAATATAAACCATAAAGTCAAATTAGTGTTTGATGATATTAGCATAAAAGATTCCTACAATATCATTACAAAATTCATTGATGGTGACAATTTACCTGTAGCTTTTGTCCTAACTTTCTTGATTTGCTAATGGACTTAAGTTTGGTAATCCCTCTACCCTTTTTCTTATTTGCCCCATCTGAGTGATGAGGGGGACTCCCGTCCATGTTATCTAAGAAGTCATCTCTGTAACAAAAAAGGTAAAGGTTAGATATAATTTATTACATTCACGGATAAAGTAAAATAATAAAAACAAAATATAATCAATTCAAATAAAATAATAGATGCATCTTTTTCTTTTTTTAGGAGCCTTACTATGTTTCATATGACCTTTTATTGAATGAAATGACAGATTTAACCAAATGCCCTCTTCATGATCATGTCTTGCATAAATATCCTCGTCATCTGTTAATGTATCTGCAATTGACATGTGTTCAACACTCCTCAAAGGATCGTCATCGACATTAACTTCTTCTTCTGTTAATTCTCCATCGGTGAAAGCATTTATTTTATTAGACGTTAGCACAATTGACCATGACTTGTCTACGCCTGTGATGCAAGGATAAACGAATCATCTTGGTAACCGACCTTTTTAAAATCCACCCTTATAAAGCCCTTATCGTCAATGCGAACACCATTGTTGTTGTCTACCCACTTGCATCCAAAGATTGCTACATGAAAGTTAGTGTAATCCAACTCCCATATATGTTCAATGAATCCAAAGTATGACATATTTGCATATATTGGATTTTTATCCTTTGCACTGGAGATATGTAATGATTCAGCAACCAAAGTGACCCCACTATTCTGCATTGTGCTTTGGTCGTCATGCCGTTTTGTGTAAAATGTGAACCCATTTACTAAGTACGAAGTGTATGAGAAGGCATCAATATAAGGACCTTTTGACAACCATCAAATCAATTCTGAAACCGATGTGTTCCTCTATTTCAACTGTTCACCAATATGTTCTTGTAGCCATCCAATGAATCGCACATTATGTTCTTTTGTTATCCAATTATCACCTCTGGTTCTACGCTTCAATGTCTCTTTGTGCAAGCTTCTGTATGGTTCAATTTTAGGGGTGTTTTGTAATACATGCAAGTGTGGTTGTTCCCATTGCAGTCTAGGGACCTCTATTTGTTGACAACCACTGCTACCTTCCCCTAAAGTCCTTCCATGGTGATGTGATTTTGGAATGCCACATGATTCAACATTTGACAGATATTCAGAACAAAATTCCACTGCTTCTTCCACTAAATATCGTTCAGCAATACAACCCTCTGGTCTGCTTCTATTCTTAACATACCCTTTTAAAATCTTCATATATCTTTCAACGGGATACATCCATCGCATATATGCAGGGCCACACAATTTTGTCTCTTCAACCAAGTGAATAGTCAAATGAACCATAATATCAAAGAATGACGGTAAAAAATACATTTTCAGCTCACATAAAGTTTTAGCTATTTGGTTTTGCAAACTTAGTAATCTCCCAGGATCAATCACTTTGCTATATATTGCCTTGAAAAAGAAACACAACTTCGTAATTGCCACGCGAACCTTTTTGGTAGAATAAACCGTATAGCAATAGGAATTAAATTCTCCATTAATATATGGCAATCATGAGACTTCAATCCTTTTAACTTTAGGTTCTTAAGTGATACAAGACTTTTAATGTTTGATGAATATCCCTCTAGAACCTTGACTGAATAAAGAGTCTCACATATAGCACGTTTTTCATTTCTAGACAGGGTACATGCTGTTGGAGGTAAAAAGGTCCGTTTTCCCTTCTTCACTGGAGCCAAATCGGATCGTATTTCCAACTTCACCAAGTCAAGTCTTGCATTGATGCCATCTTTCTTCTTTCCCATGATGTTTAATAACAAACCAATCACACTTTCACAAACATTTTTTTCAACATGCATAACATCAACAAAGTGTCTTACGTATAAAGATTCCCAGTACGGTAACTGAAAGAAAATTGACATCTTCCAACCTGCGGTTGGAATTTGTTTGGCAAAAGGTTTTCCAAATGTTGTTCTTATGTGTTTAATCTCATCAAAAAAATTTGATCCACTCTTCAAATAAGGACATTGACGTACTTCGTAACTTCCATTAAAAGCTTTTTTCATTTTTCTAAAAGGATGATTTTTTGACAACCACCTACGATGCCCCATGAAAACATTTTTGTGACAATGGTCTAGTCTTATATAATCTATTTTTTCCTGACATATTGGACATGCACATTGACCTTTGATGCTGTAACCAAAAAGATTTCCATATGCAGGAAAGTCATTAATTGTTCCGTACATTGCCTTCATAGTGAAATTTTCATCTCTAAATCCGTCATATACTTCAATGCCATTATCCCACAACAACTTCAAATCTTCAATTAAAGGAGACAAGTACACATCAATGTCATTTCCAGGTTGTTTAGGACCAGAGATTAACAACGAAAGCATCATATATTTTCGCTTCATGCAAAGCCATGGAGGTAAGTTATACATTATTAAGATCACAGGCCATGTACTATGGGTGTTACTTTGCATGCCATGTGGATTCATTCCATCGGTTGCTAATGCAAAACGTATATTCCTTGATTCATATCTTTTAGGGTCAAAAGTTATGGTATTTAATGATCATTATGCTTTGAAATTTTTGTTAAAAAAGACAGATTCCATGCCTAGGCTCATAAGATGGATGCTTTTACTTCAAGAGTTTGACTTAGAAATCAAAGATAGAAGTGAAACTCATAACTTGGTAGCAAACCATCTGAGTAGAATAAAGGGAGTCCCTGAACTCATTCCACTCAAGGACAGCAAGGAAAGTGCTAGATGAAGGACTATAGTGGCATTCCATTTTCAAGGACTCTTGGCAAACATACTCTACATATAAGAAATGCCAAAGGTCAGGAGAAGTGATCACTTAGAGACAAGAAATGCCTTAGCAGCCCATGCTGTACTATGACATCTTTGATGTCTGGGGTATTAACTTCATGGGACCCTTCATTGTATTTGGCAAAGCATGTCATTTACCAATGGAGATTGAACACAAAGCATATTAGGTGGTGAAGACCTACAATCTGCACTATGATTCAACTAGAGAACAAAATATAAATAAAATTTATATATTTTTGTATAAAAATATAAATAAAATCACATCATGCATGAATTTTAAGAATAAAGGAACTTAATATGAGTTGTTCTCAAGAATCATTTTCACACATCATAATATTAAAAAATTTATATCTATTTTGTTTCAATTCCAAATAAAGTGAAACCAGTGAAAATAGTTTCATTAATAAGTCTATTTTTATACAAAAATAAAGATAAAAATAACGTCACACAAAGATATTAAAATGAAATTGAATCAATATTAAAACGAAATTGAATTAAGTCATATTGTCCCTAGAATACTATTTTCATGGATCAGAATTTTAGAAAAATCATAACTAATACAATTTAAATCTAAATAAAATAAAATCAGTGGGAAAAGTTTCAAAATTTAATTATCTACATGAATAAAATACTGACAAAAATTTTTGCAAAGGTTTTCTCATATGTTACATTATTTGCAGTTTAGTCCTTTTATTTTATGTTAATTGCAATTAGGTCCTTTTTCCAAAACTTTAAGAAGTCAGGTTGTCCAGCATATTTTTCCCTTTCCTCTAAGTCATTGTCCAGGTCTCAATATGGTCAAAAACATTCCTTTGGTCCTACTACTCATGTGATTAATTAATTTAAACTTCTTGAAGTCCATTTATGGTCCAATCATAGTATTTTCTCATCTAAAAGTCCAATCCTTCAAATTTAATTTCATATCTTGGTCAATATTCGGATGATTCTTATACTTCAGAGGTTCCAAAAACTGTCCAAGAGTCCAAAGCTTATTTCTTAGTAATTTTTCTATTTTTAAATCATTTTCCTTTTTCTCTTTCATTCAAAATCTTTAAAGATACATTTAAAATATTATTTCAAGTCAAGATAAATCCAAAATATCAAGAATACTATGATAATACAAGCTAATATCTTAGAAAATTTTTGTGATTTTTAAAAATTTGAAAAAAATAAACCCAGCGACTTCCAACTATTAACTAAGGACTAACCTTTCTACTACTACGCTACCTCTGCTCGTGCGTATAACATTTGAAACACAAATATAATTACAGGATTTCTAAATAATCTAAAGCATTGAGATCCATCTCTTAAAACATCAAACACATACTGATGAATTATTTGAACAAAATAAAATAAATACTTTTATATTAAAACTTTTTTAACCAAAATCATAAAATTTCGTAAAACACATTGAATTATCCTTGAGAAAAAAGGAAAATCACATTATACACGTGAACATAGAAGGGAGCAAAAATGAAGATGTTACATGTTGGATTGTTGCTGCATGCACACCTTGGCAGATTTATGTTCCAAAGTAATCACTACCCTTTTCCATAGTGAATACTTAGACAACACATTGATTATTTTGCAATGCATTCTTCTTACACAAGTATTGCCCACCTACTGCCATCTGCATATTATCTCATATGAAGTTTGCACTATTTTCCTGCATCAATTGCTTGCCATACTGCACATTGGAGTAATTACTGCTATTTCACATAGTAATTACTATAACAGCACTACACTTCACAGTAATTACTCCGATATCTACTCTCATTGTGAATCTAGGAGTGTACAAATTTTATTGCATTTTGCTGCATCCTTGTGCAATCAACTCACTATCTCTTTTCATTTCCCTGCAGCAAAATGGTGAACACCCCTAGAAACACCCCTAGAACTAAGAGGGCCATGACTGTTGGAGCTTCTTTATCCCAACCTTCACCTGCACATGATCCTAGGTTCAGATTAGTTGCCCATGAGAACTATTACAGAGCTAATATAGTGAGGAGGCAGATAGTGTAGGACCGCAACTTTGACATCTAAGAAGGAAGCTACCCTTAATTTTATGAAGAAATTCATAAGACGGGATGAGACATTTTCACTACTTGTCCTAGAAACGAGTGGAAAGAGATCACCCAGGAACTTGCACAAGTAGTGAAATCAAATATTAATTTTTTAAAAGAGAAAACTCTTTTTAAAAATCAAAACAAACATGCTCTAATTAATTACGTTTTTAAAAGGTTATCCAAATATACCTAAGAGCTGGGCACAAATTTACCAAAAAAGAAACATGATTTCTTTGAAAAATGAAAATTCAATCATCTCCATCTCAGACTTTTATTTTTGATGAATTTTCAATGAATGACGTTTTTGTTTACATCCAAATTTTTTACGCAATTCTTATACACTTTCATGACATAAAAAAGAAGAATTAAAACTTCATCTCGTTTTCTTTTATCATAAGAGATATGGGTGTAACAAGAGTAGTGTAAAGTAATCTAATATATAATTATCATCGTTCTTTCAAATAAAAGAAATTAGATGTTCCTTTTTATTTGTCTCGAGGATGAAGAGGGGTAATTTAACAAGACAAATTGATAGTAATGTATAAATTACCAATTGATAGCTGCCAGGAAAAGCTCACAAAACATGCACCCCAATTTAAGCGAACAAGAAATACAATGATTATTGGTTTAATAACACCAAACATGGCCCTGTTAGGGAAACGCATTCGCAGTACAAAATTCATAGAACTGTTGCACAATTATAGGTTTGACTTGTCAAGACCATGCGTCTCTTTGTTATTCTCATTACAGCAATTCTAGATTAGTGAATTGAAAGACCAGGAAAGAATGTCATGTGTTTCAACCACTAGACCAGTGGCACCTGAGAAACCAATTCTAACCCATTCCGGTAGAATAACACTCAAATCAATGTTTTGTGAGACGACGGTTGGTTGAATTTGAATATTAGGATATGATACTGAGGCTCTCAATTCCTTTGCATTAGAGTTGTAGCTAATAATAGCTTTTGCAATTGATCTTTCCGGAACAGAATTAATAGGCCAATCTTTATGCTCCTTTGATTCAATAGAGTTTATGTCAATTCCAATATGAGGAGCAATGGCTGTAGGAATGGGATCCCATTCATTTCCAAAGCTGTCAAATTCAATAGCCACAATTTGGTTTTTCGCTTCGTTGAAAGCAATTTCAGGATTGAATAGTCCAAGGAATCCCCCGAATGAATTTTTTGGTATTATAGGATCATCATTGGATGGTATGATAAAGAAGGACAACCCATCAGCATGAATTTGTGAACCAGCTGAATCTACCACGAAAGTGAACTCTGTTTCAAAGTTTGCATGCTTTCCTGTGCTCTTGTCCCAGAGATGCACGCGTGGAATATAGACTACTCGACCAACACTCTTTAGTTGAACAGTAACAGTACCGTTTATTTCATCTCTTCTTGTTAATTGTATTACACCACTTAATGGACGTGCATCGCCAAGAAAACGCAAACTTCCCAAGTCTTGTGCTTGCCCAAAATTTGGGAAGTTGAATGAAAGTGATTCTGACTTAACGCTGCTTAGTAGCAACAATAATACGAGGAAAAACACAAGGAAAGCAGGAAATGGTGCGTGAGTTTTTAGATGTTTACTCATAGTTGAGATTATTTGAGAACTTGGTTGGGTGTAAGGCAAACCGAGATGTTTAAGATGTGTATATATATATATATATATATATATAGGCAATATAAGGCTTACATTGTAATGATGAATAAAAAAATTTCTCAAAAGGCACCTAACATAGTAACCTGTGTGGTCAAAATATAGAAGGTGTAAAATCCTAGGAATGATATATATGTTATATATACAACTTAGGACTAGTGTTTGTCTCAAATATATGTCTGCTTACATTGGAACATAATCATTGATATAGCTATGTTTCGAAATATGAATGAGCGACGGCAAAGACGTAATATTAAGCTATTAGCTGTCAAAAGTGAGAATGGCATTGTAGCTGGAGAATACTGACCCTAATATTGAACTATTGCAGTCTTACGTACCATTTTGTTACTACCCCAATCATTATCCATTTTGGGTGTGGGGTCAATGTTTGCAATATGATGCCTTAGAATTAACAAACAAAATCAGTGTTTAATAGTTTTTAATTCTTTCCATTTTATTTACTCATAAATAACTTATTTTTCAAAGCTATGGCGTGATATCTAATTCAGAGAAAAAAAATATAGATATATATAGATAGATAAATTTCAACAAGCATGAACAAAATCGTATTAAAATATGTCTAATTCTTGATGATGTTTAACTTAACGTACAAGAGGATTATTGTTTAAGTACTTAGACGTACATGTGTCAGTCAATGAAACAATAATAACCAAAATAACAATAATAATAGCATGTACAGTCCAGTCTTATAAAGAGAATCATAACATGAAAGGTTTATATATTTTGGTCAAAGTCCAGTCTTTAAAATGAATATTTTCTCCTTCACACTCATATTACTTTCCAAATATTTTCTAAATAAATTAATTTTATAATGAATGGGAATAATAAAAATTTTATTTCAACAGTTTTCAGTACATAATTTTAATAAAGTATTTCAAAATAAGAAAGGTTACAAGTTTAAAACAAAACAAATGCTATAAGACCAATTTAAATACATTACAAATTTCAAAAGAATGGTTTTCTAAGTCCTATAGCAGTTCCATCCCTCCCATTCACTGAACCTAGTGTTGATCGTCTTGGTCACCTGAAAAATAAATGTAAGGGTGAGTACTCTACACTATCACACACAAGAACAGAGACTCACCTTGCACATTTCACACATTTACTAACGTAATTCAAATCAAGCATCAAACAATCACAAAGTAATATTTTTCAACATTCCACTCCAATTCACATACAGGTGCGCTCACTACACCAACAAACAATCCACATACAAAATTCACGTGTGCTCACTACACGTTAGCCACACTCACTGTGATCACAGTTTCCTAATGCCCTCAACTTCATGGACTTACACAATTTCACAGATAGATGGTTACCGATTAGCCCTTGTCTCACGGATACAACGTGTGCAGTCACGGGCCCCTAAGCAAAGGTGTTAGTCAGAAGCCGAGTCAGGAAGAAAGTATGTGGCCCAGGATGTACCGATACTCACTGTTAGTGTCACCATCACCTTTTCTTCCCCAAGGTATTTCTACTGCCCCCATCTTTTACACTCTCAATGTATCGGTGTAACCATTCATAGTTTCCAACATTTCAAACACAATTACAATCACACTCAACATGGCATTTACACATATTCTCACTTATTTCATATTATTCATCATCAACCAATAGCATATCAGCATGTACAATCAATCACATTTTATTCTACACTAAATTTCCATCATAATCCAATCACAATCAAACCATTTTCTCACACACATCACCCAATAACTACCACATCATGCTTCATACAAAATTTTCATTAAAACACACATTTTCCTACATTCTATCTCAACCACATTCCACTATCTAGCAACATAAATGAAATATAAACACAGAGGGAGTTCATAAGTCAAAAACACATGGTCACTCACCTAGAACTCCAAAGGTTTTCTCTTCTTATCATAGTAGCTCTTTTGTTGATCTTGTGCAGCCTTAAACTTGTCTCTAATCATTTTGATTTGCTCGTTTTGTCTCTGGAACATGTCTGGTGCACACAAAGTTGCCTCTCCAGTCTCATACCAACACAAAAGAGTCTTATACTTTCGTCCATACAAAGCCTTGAACGGTGCCATTCCAGTGCTAGCGTGATAGCTATTATTGTACGTGAACTCCACTAATGGTAAGCATTCCTTCCAAGTTCCCTGTTGCTAAATCACACAAGCCCTTAGCAAATCCTCCAGTGATTGAATGGTCCTCTCGATCTAATCGTCGGTCTGTGGATGGTAAGCTGAACTAAGCTTTAACTTAGTACCCAACGCCCTCTATAGGCTCTCCCAAAACATCAAAGTTAAATCTCAGGTCTCTATCGGATACTATACTAGTCGGCACTCCGTGCAACTTGACTATCTCCCTCACATACATGTCTGCTAGTCGTTCTAATTTGTACTTCATGTTGATCGGGAGAAAGTATGCATCCTTGGTCAACCGATCCACTATCACTCAAATAGCGTCATGGTTGTTCCTGGTCCTCAAAAAACCAAAAACAAAATCCATGGAAATGCTATCCACTTCCACTCCAGGATCTCCAAAGATTGCAACAGTCCAGGTAGATGTTGGTACTCCACCTTCGCCTTCTAACAAGTTAGGCATCTCGACACATACTCCGCCATATCCTTCTTCATCCTATTCCACCAAAAATTCTTACAGATGTTCTAATACATTTTGGTCAAACTGGGGTGGAAACTCAACCTACTCTTATGCACCTCCTCAAATATCATTTGTTTCAACTCATAAACTTGGGTAATGCACACGCGATTTTGAAACTTGATCACCCCATTCTCAACATAGTGGAACTCCAAGTCCTTTCCTCACCCTTATGCTTCATCATATCTTGTAGGAAAACATCTTCCTGCTGAGCATCTCAGATGTGTACCAAGAAGTCATTGTGAATCATCATCGTCTCGAGGTATAAGCTCCTTGGCCTTACCTTCATAGCCAGATTCATATCCCAAAACTCCTCAATTAGTTTTATTTCCTTTACCATTATAGCTGCCACATGTAATGACTTCCTTCTCAATGCATCGACCACCATATTTGCCTTGTTGGGAGAGTAAGACAATGTGAAATCATAGTCCTTGAGTAATTCCATCCATCTTCTCTGCCACATGTTTAGCTCTCTCTAATCAAACAAGTACTTATTGTGAATGAACACTTCAAATCTCGTTCCATAAAGGTAGTGCCTCCATACCTTAAGAGAAAAAACCACCGCAACTAACTCTAAATCATGCATCGGGTAATTGGCTTCATGTGGACGCAACTGCCTCGAGGCATAGGCAACCACTCACCCATCTTGCATCAAAAGGCACCCAAGTCCATACCCAGACGCATCACAATATACATCAAACTTCCACTCCGAGTCAGGCAGAACCAACATAGGTAGAAGTCAACTTCCCCTTCAGTTCTAGGAAACTAGCTTCATATTCTCTACTCTACTTAAACTCCTTCCCTTTAGGTTCAGTTTCGTCAAGAGTAAAGTTATTTTAGAAAATCCTTCAATGAACTTCCTATAATAGCCCACCAGTCCCAGAAAACTGCGGATCTCCGTCACATTCGCCGGTTCGGCCATTGGGCTACTGTTTTCACCTTTGCAGGATCTACCATAATTCCATCCTCCGATACTACATGCTGCAAAAATTGAATTTGTGACAGCCAAAACTCGCATTTAGAGAACTTTGCATATAATTGCCTCTCCCTCAAAATTTACAAAACTATCCTCAAGTGCTCAACATGTTCCTCTTGAGTCTATGAATAAATTAGGATGTCGTTTATGAACACCACCACAAACTTATCCAAAAACTCATGGAAGATCCTGTTCATATAGTCCATGACACAGCAGGTGCATTGGTCACTCCAAACAGCATCACCAAATACTCGTAGTGACCATATTGTGTCCTGAAAGCCGTCTTAAATACATCCTCATCCTTCACCCTGATTTAATGGTACCTCGATCTCAAATCAATCTTCGAAAATACTGCAGCTCCCCTCAACTGATCCATCAAGTAGTCAATTCTTGGAAGTGGATACTTGTTCTCTATCGTCGCCTTATTCAACTGCCTATAGTCAATACACATCCTCATACTCCTATCTTTCTTCTTCACCAAGAGCACTAGCGCTCTAATGGTGACACGCTCGGTCTCACAAACCGCTTCTGTCAAAAGTCCTTTACTTGCTTCTTGACTTTTGTCAACTCTACCGGTGACATCCTATATGATACCACAGAAATTGGGCTCACTCCAAAAATGAGGCCAATCGTGAACTCTATCTCCCTCTCAAGCGGAAACTTTGAGACATCTTCGGGAAAGACTTTCATGAAATCTCTCATTACTGGAATATACTCTGGCTACATTCAACTTTCAGGTTTTATTGAGAACATGACCATAAAGGTCTTAGCATTTACCGTGTTCTCCCACACACCTTGACTCAAAACTCTAGGAATTTCTGAAGTCAACGTGTAACACCCTAAATTTCCTTCACTCTATAAATGATTGTTGAATTATATAAACCCCATTTAATAAAATATAAGTAAAACATAGAGACTCTAGAACTAAAATTTTCTTTAACAAAATTTACCGAAATGAGTCTGATCAGTAAAGAATCACATAATATAAAAAAAAAATATGTAAAATTTTTTAGACTATCTAGAATAGTTTTATATGATTTATAAGAGGGTTAGAAAGATCCAAAAATGAAAAATAAACAAAATTTCAAAATTTGACCAAAATGACTAAACTATCCCTAAAAACACCTAGAATTGAGGCCCTTTTTGGGTAAGCAAATGAATGAGATAAACTCTATAATTTTTATTGTAATTTAATGGACCAAATAGGGTTATGGATGTTCAATAATCAAGTCAAAAATTTAAGCACAAAATTCAAACCAAATTCCTCAAAAATAGCCCACATATGATGTGGAAAATGACCTATTTT